CCCCAAAACCCCAAAACCCCAAAACCCCTAGCTACTTATATAAATGCGGAATAAAATGAATCTTTAAATTTGCCAGAATCAATTAATAGTGAATTTCAAAAATCATATATAATTATCATTAAAAATAGATAAATGTTCTCAAAAATTGTGCAGAATAGAACTGAGAAATCATCTAAAGTATAAACTGATCCCACCTAGATCTCTAAGATTCTAGAGGAGAGTTTCAAAAAGTTAAATGATGAGTAGCTATTATCAGTTACTGAAGCTAGCGTGACAGATCATTATAAACCATTCATCGATTAGTGTAATGTGCTTCTTTATGGATAGACAAACTACATGCAAGCAATAGAAGAAATGAAATAGAACTCAGGAAGTTAGAAAGGGGGCGTGTGTGCTAAGACTCTCAGATCAGGTGACGTGGCCTGGAAATGCGAAGACTGTGAGTTAGACCCGACCTGTATTATTTGCCAGGAATGCTTCGAAAAAGGAAATCATAAGGGCCATCGTGTGTGGCTGAAAAAGAACGTAGGAGGATGCTGCGATTGTGGTGATCCTGATGCCTGGCGGGAAAATGGATTCTGCTCCGATCATAAGGGATATGAAGCATCAAGTGAGCAGCTTCTTCAAAATTTACCAAACTATGTAAAATCAAGTTCCAAAGAAGTTTTCAGATCTATCTGTAGGATAATTAAGATATAATATCTGGAAATTCAAGGCTGCAAAAAATCTGAATTAATTGATTAAGAGGGTTCTGCAAAAATAACCAAGTTATAGTGTCTTTTGAAGCTATTTTACGAATTCCTAGTATTCTCAGTGGATCAATCTTTAGCATTTATTCACTTTATTGCTGAAGCTATGACAGATTCCTACTTTGAAACAATTAATTTCAATAAAGACTCTCATTAATGTTGCTACAGAGCTTTTATTAGCAATGAAGAAAAGGAGTCATTTCTTGCTAGAATTTCGAAGAAAAATGAAGAACTAAAGAATTTATCTGAGGATTTTGAAGAGACTCGAGAATAGTAATATATAGGCATAAATGAAGATTAAATATTGCTTCAATAATACGAGTAGATGCTAGAAAAGAGATAAATCTGCTCTTGCACTGTTTTAGACCTATCCTTCTAGTGCAATCACCTCCTAGCCAAAAAAAGTATGAAACTGATATACGAATTCTACTTCTAGCTCTTTCAATCATACAAATTTAAGTAACATTTGGGGCTAAGTTTCGCAGCAAATTTCAAGAAACTGATCTTAAAGCGAACGGAATAATCTTAGTATAACATGGGTTCTATTGGTGTGTAGATTCTCACGATAGATGAAATTGGACTGATGATAATGAAAGAAGAGAAGTTAAGGGAAAACTTAGTTAAGACCTATGAATTGGTCATTGATAAGTTAGTCTCATCATCTTTCTAAAATAAATATGTCAACTACATGTACTCTATACTCTTTGATATAAAGTACTTGAGCAGACCTAAAACTCTTCACTATGCTGTGTATGAGACTGATTTCTTAGAAAAAATACTAGAGTAGCTGGGAAAACTTTACTTCACAGACATAATAGAGTACAGAACCAACCACATTCAATTCGATGCAACCATTTATAAGGAGGGACTGTATAATATAGATCTATAGCTTATCAAAACCTACAAAAACTACATTAAGGAAATAGACCCGAAGAACGTAGAGAGAAATAGAAAACTTATGTCTGCCTTCATTTCATTCTTTGAGGACATTAATAACAGATTAGGAGATGTAGGGGAGAATGGTTTCTTTGCAATTCCTCTTCACAGACTTTTTAGTTACTACCTGAGTAGATTAATAATGTACAACTATTTGATTGAAAAAGATATTAATCCTTAAAAGTAGGCAAGAGATATTATGTTGAGCATAGTACAAAAATTTATAGTAGTTCCAAATAATCAAAATAGATAGAGCTATATTTAACATGCGATAATGGCCATAATTAGACCTTTATCTAGGCAATGGTCCTTTAATCATGAAGTCTTAAGTGGCAAATTTGTAATGTGTGGATTGTTTATTAATCATCTGCCTAAGTTGCTGTATTCAATTTATGAGCAATACCTAATGCTCATAATGGGACTGTTTTAAACCTTGATTGTTATATCTCCTAAGCCATAGATGATCATAAATATGATTATACAGGCATTTGAAATCAATCCTTGGCTGAAGACATTACATTTTTAGGTACTTCACTAGAATCTGAATAAATAGGAGTTTGAAAAATTTAAGCCGATAGTTGATGATAAGAAACTCAGACAATTGCTCTCCTGGGAACTTAAACTATTTATACAACTTTCTGTAGTTGAGATGCCTTTCCTCTACCCACTGAATACAGATATTTGTAGTAAAGACAAGTTGTTCTATTAAGAGGACAAAATTACTAAGAAGATTGAAAATTTGTTAAGATCAGATATCAAGAGATAGATTATCCATGCTTTCTTATAATTCGGAGGAAAAGTTGAAATTAAAACTCTCAAAAAATCACTTCCTGATTTCTACACTGAGCACGAGCTATTCGATAATACTCTTCTTGAGGTAGCAGATCAGCAGAGAGAAGGACCACAAAAATCTTTATTTAAATTGAAAGAGCAATACTATTAGTAACTAGAGCCTTACTATTAACTGTAACATGAGCCTCAGTAGAAGCTATTGGAATCTATTAAAAGCATTCAGAATGTTCAGTTCAATGAGATACTAGGGGATTTCAATGAGGAGTATAAGTTTGGTACTGAATTCAATCATATAGTGCAAGAAGCAATAGGCTAAAGTGTCCTAATCACCTATGTTAGAGATATCATCATAATTTGGGCACAAAACTAAGAAGAGTTCAAAGTGATTGATAATTAGGCAGGCCATGAATGCCTAAAGATTTTAATGATGGTAATTCAATCTGCACTAAAATCTTAAATAAAGTAGTAGACGGATTTTATTCTAAATATGATATAATTCCAGGATAATAAAGTTATCAAATCTCTAGAAATTATCAGGAAATAAGACCTAGCTATGGATAAAGCCATATAGGAGATTTTGGTCTCTATATTCAATTTGAACAAGAATTTATTTAGAGAATTAGGCTAACAACTTGGTCTGGTATTGCCAGATGAATCAGACTATACAGTTTCTACTAATTAAACAACTAATAAATCAGCTGAAAATGACGTAACAATTAGAGATAGGCAAATTAAGTAGAAAGAGGAGGCAAGATTAAAAAAGGAGAAGATAATGATGAAATTTTAGAGTAAAAGACAGAAGTATATAAATAAGAATGACATTTAATCTACATCAATGAGCCTTGAAACTTCTGTACTTAATACCTCCAGAACTAACAGCAGCTAGATGGACCAAAGTCTACACGAAGACGATGAAATTGAATGCGCTCTCTGTAAGGAAACACTTCTTAGTGACAATTTTTATTCTGACCCCTATGGATAATTCGCTTACATATCCAAGAGTAAATTGATGGCTCATACTTTGAGACAAACTCTGGGGCTTTAAAATGAATTAGTTAAATAGTAGAAGAATCAGTTTCAAATGTAATAAGAGAAAGAGATATCAAGTTTATAAGAGGAAGAGGAGGAAAAAAAGGATTATGAGATGATTCAATAAAGTATAGTTAAGGATTAAGATAGCGGAGAAAACCTTAGAGATTTAGATCTAAGTTATTTAAATGAAACAGAACTGACAGGAGGCACAATGATCAAATGCTCTCATTACTCTCATTTTAAATGCTTAAATAGCTATCTCACAGCCAAAGAAGCTGATGTTAGGAAAAGAGAACTTAGCAAAATGATAGGGCTTGATCATAAAACATTTTAATGTCCCTTATGCAGGCACTTATCCAATGGCCTTATCCCCTTCGAAACGTTAGATAACTATAACGAAAACAAATATACCTAGAGAGACTTTGACTAATACTTACTTCTTTCCCAGATAGTTGGCTATCTATCCAGAATAATCCAACAATAGCAAATTTAGAAATCAGAATTATTACCGATTGACATAAAGAAGCAGCCACTAGTGGTCCTCAGAGGTATTGAGAGTTTTATCTTGCATAGAATACAACTAATAGATATAAAAGGAACTCAAGAATTCTTAAAAAGAAGCAGACACCATGTTGGCATTAGAGAATACTCAAATATTATTGATATTGCTGGAAATGTTGTGAAGCTAATTTTAGATGGGGAGATCAAAGTAAGTTCTGCTCTCAATCCTGATGAGGAGATGACTGAAGAGGGATTTGAAGATATTTGCATTGAGTAATTCAGAAGTTTGATTGATAATCATTGCCTATAGTAAGGCTAATAGCAAAATCTGATTTTTGAGACTGACGCAAGTATACTTTGCAATAAATTGATTTTTTATTTGACACTGCTTTTAAAAGGAAAATATGTTATATTGATGAAACTCATTCATGTGATTATAAAAAATGTATACAAGGTAGTCCAAATTTAAGCTCTCTTTAGGCTATTGTTTTTGAGATCATAAGGATAACTTAAAGGCTCAAGCTAGTAGATATACGATTTGATGAATTTAAGTGAATTAGTCAAGCTAGCTCAAAACGAGGAGAACTCAGATTTTATTATAAGATCTCAATTACCTTTCCTGAGAAAGACTCTAGCTATGATTTTATTGATTCACAGTATTTATAGATAATCTAACCCTGACTTAATGAGAGAGGATGATAAATTTATTATGAAATTGTTGGTTATTAGAGATGACTCTGAGGAACTTCAGCTTTTGCAAGAATACTTATGCCTTGAAAACTCCTATTAATTCATTCTAGATAAGCCTCAAGTATTAGAAATCTAAAATAACAGTGTTGAAATAAGTGCCTTTATGGAAATAGAGCATAATGATGGAAAATCAGAGCTTGAAAGAATGGTTGAATAATTGGCAACAAAGCTCTCATCAATTGATAATCTAAGAAGATAAATAGACCAATATATAGTATTCAAAGAATTAGATAGTTAGTAGCTAGTCGCCTTAACTAAAGAATAGATTCTAGAGTCGCCTTATGAAAAGTCTGTCGAAATGCCAAACTAACTGAAACTACTGGATACTTATTATACCTTCAAATTTTTCAAGACACCAACAGATCTTTAAGGCGTTATTCAGGAATACTACAAGAAAGTATGTAAAAATTGTAATACTTAGCCTAAGGATATGTCTGTATGTCTTTTATGCGGAGAAATAGCCTGCTTTACCCTGAAATGCTGTCAGAATTTACCAGGAATGAGGAATAAGGAAGGTGAGCTCACTTTCCATACTAGAACATGTGAGGGAGGAGTTTCATTGTTTTTGCAATGCTCTGATGGTAAACTAGTCCTTATTGAAGGCGATAGATCGTGCTAGAAATCTTCTCCTTATATCAATAAATTTGGTGAGTCTTATAGCTTGCAGTCAAAGAGGTGGGACAACTTCTTCATGGATGAGACCACTGGAGGATCAGTTATATTGGAAGAGTATAAAAAGTTGTATATGAACTTTAAGATTGGAAATGAAATTATGAAGGAGAGATCTTAGTCTGATTATGTTTGGAGACTAAGAGTCATTTGAGAGATTATATAAGCAATTGATAATTAATTTATTTATTAACAAAATTAAGCCAATAGATATTTAGTATTGAAGGGGTTTTGGGGTTTTGGGG